TATATATATATATATATATATATATATACATCTTTCTGTACAACGTTCTGCTAATTGTCTATACCATGGGATAGTGACAGCATGTCATGTATCCATTCACTTTCACAAAGCAACTTTTGGTTATTGTGTTAATATGCAGATTGTTGTCTTAGAATTTGTATTATATATAAAACGTCACTACTAAATTGCCTCCTTTGACTCTGTCAAAGGTAAATATGCGTACACGGTGAAGCTGGTGTCTATCCTCAACAGTCGATCCCAAAATGAATCAATGAATTCATAAAAGATTTTTCACTTATTACTGTTTAGAAAAAATCAAATTGACCAATATTATACAGTATATTAAGATAATCATCAATAAAATTTAATTCATTTTATTTATATGGTACCAATTCACAACATATGTCATCTCAAGGCTGTTTACAGTTCACCAAATCATCCAGTCAAATTGATTCAGAGTTTTCTATCTAAGGAAAACCAGTTGATTGCATCGACTCATTGACTCCCTCACACTAAGCATGCTTGTAGTGACAGTGGAGAGGAAAAACTCCCTTTTAACAGGAATAAACCTCCAGCAGAACCAGGCTCAGTGTGAGCGACCATCTGCCAAGGCCGACTGGGGTTTTCTTCTGTACTATAAACATCTTCCTTAAATCTGCAAGAAAAAAATTATTGGTGCATCTCCGTCTCTGCATCCGGGTCCTTAACAACCTATCTACGTACATCACATTATTCTTAGATACATATTCTTAGACATATGGGTTTCAGCTATCAAGACAAATAATATATTTTGTGTATTTTATTTAGTTATAATTGAGAATGCATCAGGACCAACTAAGTAATGCCGGGCATACACTGTATGATTTATTGCCCTTTTCAGGCTGATTCTCCAGTTATGTGAGAACGTTTCAATCGGGTCGAGTTTCAGCCTCATCGTGCATCCTGCGTCGTGTATTATGCAGGGGGTAATGAGGGGCGTTTAACCTCTAATGACCACCTCCCGATCAGGACTCGTAAGTTTGGAAAAAAGTCCGTAAATGTTTGAAATTCAGTCGCCCGTCATGAGGTGTTCGTGGAGAAATCCTGCTGTTGAAGCAGAGGTACAAGCCAATTAGCCAGAACCTCGAGCACTGCGCATCTGCAAACAGGGAGTTCTTCTTCCTCTTCCAGATTGACGAGTCCCACCAGCAGCATCTCTTGGTGTTGAGTCCGCCGTGTGGTTTTTGGACGTGCAGTGTGAGCAGGGAGATCGCATCAGAGTGCCGGGCCGCACAGTGTGAGAATATGCATCGTGAGCTGTGAACTTTTAAACCCTGTGGTTTCGTCATACGGTTTGAGCTGTAGCTGCGTGGAACGATTGATAATATCGCACAGTGTATGCCCGACTTAACACAACAAATTGCTACCAGGAACAACAATATAGAATTACGCAAAGTATAAAGCTTATTTAGAGTTTTAAGATCTTTGACAGATGTTTCCCTGGAATAATTATGTTCTTTGCCTGAATTTCACAGAACTACACCATCTTTAGATATCTAGCAGCTTTAGACAATACTGCATATTTGGAGGATTTTTCCCTCCAAAGTTGAAGCACACTTTCAATTTGAGAGCAGGTTATTCACAAAAACTAGTAACTCTTGCATTTACAATTTTCTTTCTGTTTTCTTTCAAATATGCTCTCTTCTACATCAAATCTCAATTTCTGCACTCAAATATAAATTGTCTTGCACAAAGATTTTCTCCTCCTTCATGCCTTCACTTAGGAACTTTGAAAACCTGTTTTCCCTGCTTTTGCATTTTCTTTTTTTTTTCTGCTCCCTTAATGGGGTTGGTTCATTGCCTAGCAACTGTTCCAGCCCGTAGAGTAACAGCTGTGAACTTTGAAGAGAACACTCTCCCGACCCTGCCTTTCCTGCTCGTAAACAGTTTGCTATCTCAGATTGTCATTTTCCATTACAATCTCAGATTGAATTGAATATAGAATGTTGTTTATGTGTCAAATTTTTACTTTCGCTGAATTCTCTGAGAGAAAAAGTTATTGTATGTATTTTATTCATTCATATAAGCATTCATAGCAAGCAAAGTTTGCAAGCAAGTAAAACATTTTTGGGAGCTCATTCTCATAGCCGTTCCCTGTGGTCATTCAATTGTCTGGAATGGTTTCTCGGTGATAAACAAAAATCCACAAACAGGAACAACAGGTTTGCAATCATATTTCTGACTGGAGCAGAGAAGAAATTTGCATGCAAGCAAAAGGAGAAATGTGGGAGGAGAAAATATATGAGCCAGAATAATTAAATCTAGGTAGAGAAACAAATTGGATGGAGAAAATAGAAAATTAGATTAGATGAGCTTTATTGATCTCACAGCGGAGAAATTCACTGGTCACATATTGGCATAGTAATTAACGAAGTTGCAAACAAGGAAGATAAAGGTGTATTAAGAATAAACAATACATATACAGTATATCATGGTATATGCAGTATATCAAGATAAATAAGGATTAAGGTGCAAGTGTACATGTATCACACACAATAAAAAACAAAATAAAAATAAGAAATGAAAAAATGTAAAATACAAGGGAGTAACACAGAGATTTGAGGTGTCATATGTACAATCCGGATGGCTTATATACAGGTGGATTGACTTTTACATTAAAGTGTAGTAGGTAAGGAACAATGGTGAGGAAGTGGTATGACTATTATATTCACATTTATTGCACAGTCAGCATATTGCACAGAATATTGCAAAGTCAATAAATAATAAAAAAAAAACTATAATATAGTTGCACAGTGGTTGTTACAGGGTTTATTTTGGTTATAGTGCAGTAATGTAGAGTCTGGTGGTAGCAGGGATGAATGACCTGCGGTAGCGCTCCTTCTTACAGAGAGGGTGTCTAAGTCTTTCACTAAAGGAGCTGCTCAGCTCCTCTACAGTCTGGTGCAGGGGGTGAGAGGTGTCGTCCATGATGGATGTGAGTTTGGACAGCATCCTCCTCTCAGCCACTTCCTCCACCGAGTCCAGAGGACAGCCCAGGACAGAAGTGGCCTTCCTCACCAGCTTATTCAGTCTCTTTCTGTCCTGCTCTGAGCTGCCAGGGGCCCAGCACACGACAGCGTAGAGGAGGGCTGAGGCCACCACAGAGTCATGAAAGGTTTTAAGCAGGGGCCTGCTGACTCCAAAGGCCCTCAGCCTCCTCAGGAGGTGGNGAAATTAAAAAAGTAAAAATACAAGGGAGTAACACAGAGATTTGAGGTGTCATATGTACAATCAGGATGGCTTATATACAGGTGGATTGACTTTTACATTAAAGTGTAGTAGGTAAGGAACAACGGTGAGGTAGTGGTATGACTATTATATTTACATTTATTGCACAGTCAGCATATTGCACAGAATATTGCACAGTCAATAAATAAAAAAAAAAAAACTATAATATAGTTGCACAGTGGTTTTTACAGGAGTTAGTGTGGTTATAGTGCATTATTATAGAGTCTGGTGGCAGCAAGAATGAATGACCTGCGGTAGCTCTCCTTCTTACAGACAGGGTGTCTACAGTAAGTCTCTGACTAAAGGAGCTGCTCAGCTCCTCTACAGTCTGGTGCAGGGGGTGAGAGGTGTTGTCCATGATGGATGTGAGTTCGGACAGCATCCTCCTCTCAGCCACTTCCTCCACCAAGTCCTTCCTCACCAGCTTATTCAGTCTCTTTCTGTCCTGCTCTGAGCTGCCAGGGGCCCAACACACGAAAGCGTAGAGGAGGGCTGAGGCCACCACAGAGTCATAAAAGGTTTTAAGCAGGGGCCTGCTGACTCCAAAGGCCCTCAGCCTTCTCAGGAGGTGGAGGCAGCTCTGGCCCTTTTTATACAGAGCGTCAGTGTTGTGAGTTCAGTCCAGTTTATTGTTGACGTGAACTCCCAGGTATTTGAAACCCTCCACAGTTTCTATGTCCTGTCCGTGGATGTTCACGGGGGGGTGGGGTGGTGGTCTTCTCCTGAAGTCGATCACCATCTCCTTGGTCTTACTGGTGTTCTCATATTTTTTTAGGCACTAGTGGGCTTTTGTTATTTTAGTATAGTACACTGTAGTAGGCAAATTGTCAATGGGACTGGAGAGTGGGGAAACGTTCCTCGTGTGGTGATTCAGGCTCAACCCACCCGGAGGAGGCCCAGGGGATGACCCAAGACACGCTGGAAGAGCTATCTCTCTCTGCTGGTTTGGAGCACCTCAGGCTTTCCCCTGCAGTACCCAATTAAGCAGAAGACAATAAGTATGAGTGCAAGATTGGGAAGACATGTGGCAAAGGTCACCAGGATTCAAATCTGTGCCAGCTGCATTAAGGACCAAGGTGTCCGTTGATGGGTCACACATTTAACCCTTGTGCCACTGCCACACCCAGGAGAGAGTATATTTGAGAGAAAATAGAAGTTTTGAATGCAAGCATCACAAGTTTTAAATAAGGCACTTTTATTAAATACAAAATTTGTGTTCTTGTAGCAGAATATGTCTTCCTTATGTATACATTTATGTTGTAATAACAACAACAGAAGTAACTTTTAGGTTCTTCCCATTGTTAGTTTAATAACTCTAAACTGTGGCAACAATCCAAAGTTACCAAATAATTTATGACAACTTTGGACTCTTTGGAGTAATAATATCATAATAGTAATTAACTAATTTCAAAGGAAAACACTTAGAGGCACCCAGAAAATCTGAGGAACAGTGAAAACAACTATTCCAACCATGAAGCCACTAACTTATGGTATGAAATTTTGTTTGCATTTCATGTAGTCAATGTATGACCCAATGTATATTGATCAGTATTTACTCACTATTTCAGTGTACACTGCACTGATTTTATTTAATAGTTGTTTGGGTTCAAGGTTAAATGCTTTATTATTATCCTGAAAGCTTTAAAGAGTGGCATTAACGGTCGCTAAACTTCATTTTTTTTTCACATTTGGCATGCAAACAATGAGATTGTTTCTCTCATCCTCCAGTGGAACGTGATGTGCTGAATAACTTGTTCATACCAGTGGCCAGTGTCCCACCTAATTTATTGGACTCAATCATAGCAATTCTGAAAAATGAAAGCTTCCCTGTAACCATATTATCTTTAGAAGTAAGAGAAATGAATCTAAGCACAGGTAAGTTAAAGACTGTTGTTCCTTAAATGATTATATACTGGTAAAGATTTACTGAACAATTTAATTGAGTAAAAAATATGTTTTAGTCTGTGATCCAAGCTCAGCTCAGGGCTTGCGATGTAAATGTGAGGATGATTTTTCTTGGCCATGTGAGATGTGCACGAGCAACACTACATGCAGTAGTGACAGCAGTTCAAGCTGTAACTGCATATATAAATCTTCATTTTCTGAGCAGTACTGTCAGCCAGTCACAGGTAATCATACCTTTTTTACATATTTTTTTTCAAGTGATTTATGTAAAGTTTCTTAAACTAAATTTAAATTCCTCCTTTGTTCCACAGAGATCCATCAGTGCCCTGGTATAGAGTTGATCTCGTTTTGTTATATATTTTGATATATGGCTGTTCCATATACATCTTAGTAACCATGCTCTCTTTCTTAATAGTGAGGTCAACCACAACACCGACACTCTCAACACAAAACGTGACAACAGTAGCCACAACTGAAACCTTCACTGTAACTGAAAGCTTCACTCTAAACATGCAGTTCAAAGAATCTTACAATGACCCTGACAGCGATCTTTACAAAAATGTTTCTGCCGCTGTAAGCCATTTTTGATGTTATTATTATAAATTGTAGATCAGTACAAATGCATACAGAATTTTATATTTAGATTTTTTTTTTAACCATGATGTTGTTTTTCATCAGGCTGAAATAAATTGTAAGGCTTTCGTGTCAACAGATTGTAAGGTCCAGAATCTGAAGTTTCGGTAGGTAACAGTCTCTTACAGTATATGCTACTTCAGAACTATATTTTTCAAAAAGATTGAAGGTGCTATTTAAATTTCTGGTAAGCAGTAAAGATGTGCTGATTCATAAAGATCATTAGCATTTACTGTTGACAGCTTTAAGGGAAAGATGTTGGTTATAATAAATGTGTGCAGCTATTTAGACCCACAAGATGACATCTCTCAAAGTTAAATGTAGACTTTGACAACTTTTATTGTAATTTTGTTTACACATAGTGTATATAGAGTGAAATGTTGTTTTGTACAGCTTTCATGACATTTCTATTTCTTAAAGTGCATTTCCTAAATGTAGCAGATGGAAAGTAAAAAAAAGTTAAAAAAGGGACAATGATCAGACTTAGACACATAAAAAATTCAGAAATAAGTTAAACAAAACAATGAAAAGCTATACATGCAGTTCTTCAGGATGATGTAGGTTAATTTTATGTATTCACCAAACATAAATTCCTACATCTTTATTTTGGCTATATTAAAACATAACTTCTAGACTAAAAAAAAAAAATCAATTTTCAATTATATTTTTTAGAATTAAATACAGACAATAGCTGGTTAATCTGAAATAGCCATAATATTATCAGCTCTTTAGATGGTGTGCACTATAAAAATATTTCTATTGACCTAATGTTGTTTAGACAGAAGCGTATTTTCCTTTAGGTATCAGCAATGAGCAATTCAAAAATGATCAGCATCAGGTTTATAAATAACAAATGAATCAAAGTCACCTAATTTTGTAGCAGAATACTAATTAAAATACAAATCTGTGTTCTAGGTCTGGAAGCACCATCGCTGATTTTTCTCTCAGCAGTTCTTCTCAGGATGTGTCGAAAGTTCAATTAGCAAAAGATGAAATGTTAAATCAACTGGTAGAAAATTATCCTGTGGAGATTGTCAGTAAGTGAGCCTCAATAAATCTGTGCTATGTTTTAACAATTTTATTATTTTCTAATGAACAAATTAATTGTTATTAACCTATTTTTCGTTCTCACAGGTCCTAAGAAATTGGATGTTACAGATGTAGTTTCTTCAGAGGAAATAATTGCTGGGGACTCTGTAACCCTGACATGTGGACCTCCTCCGACTAATCTCGGTTTAAACCTGAGGGTGGTGTGGACATTTGCTGGGACAGTCCTCGAACCAACCAAAGGCAGTGATGAGGGAACTTCAAAATACACAATCCCACAGTTTTTTCAAATCCACGATGGTATGAAGGCTTTAGGCCATCTGATAATATATTTTATCTGTGAAGATTCTTAGTCATCCAGGTTATGGATTTGGGGAAAAAACTGAAGTTGACTCTGATCTCATTTACCCTGGAGGTCAGTTGGAGGTCTTCTAGATAACTTCACATCCAGTTTTTTAAACTGAATTTTCCAAGCTTGGTGTGATAATACTAGATAACATTTTGGCTGAACGTATGCTGGTGAAGATTCTCAGTCATCCAGGTCATAGTCATTCCAAAAAGTATTTTAAAAAAAAAGCACTGGAATTATCTCCAAGTTTGAAGACGTGCATCGCATACCAACAGTCCAGTAGATTGTTTTTTACCTTTTTGGAATTTTGTCTGAACACAGTGACAGCTTAAACTTTGCATAGCAATGATAACAACTGTCCAAAAGTTACACGAGGAATCAAAGGTCTGCGTCTGAGTTTAGGAGATTATGGTGACAATCATGATTTTGTCTTTCAGGGAAATATGTATGTACGATGAGCCGTAAGGATGGTGCTATTTTCACACAGAGCAGAGATTTAAAGTCCAAACCAGCACCGGTGATCACTGTGAACCCAATCAGCGCAGTACTAAAATGTCCTGGTTCACAGACACTAAAGTGCTCTGTTGAAGGAGACTACAAGGTTGAATTTAGGAGGGTTGGTCCAAGTAAATATGAAACAACCATCTTGTAGTTTTTTCTCATCATACACCATATAAAAGTTTAAACAAGCTCTAAACAAGTTTGTTTTCATTCTGTGGATACAGTAGGTCCTGGTACAGATATCAGCTATAAGTATACAGCCTCTAGTGGATGTCAACAAGAGGAAAAAGAGATAATCTGTCAAGTGACAGGAAAGCCAGAAACAAATAAAATAATTAAACTGGCACTGAGACAAAATGGTGGGTATTTGTCCAGACAACACAACCCCATAACACAAAATAAAAGACACTATTTCATGTGCACAGCTAAGCTTTAATTATTCATTATTCATACCCTTTGTTTAGTTATATATAAATAATTTGTATTCTAACATAAAAAAAATTAAAGAAAATCACGCCTCTTGAACAAATATATGGGGAGGATAAATAAAAAGATATTACATTTCAAGAAAAAAATATTTTACAGATCTCTTTTCTTTTTTCAGAAAAAATAGAATGTTTATAATACTAACTCCCCTTTTTAATCAGACGAAACACTACTGATTATTTTTATTACAGCAATCAAAGCATTTTTGTACTTTATAATTAGCTTTTTGCATGTTTGCAGTGCTACTCTGACTTTAGGGAGTGCCTTGATTGTGATTAGAAACAAAGCTAAAAGTCACTTTAAGCTGTTTTTCTTTCTGTGTAGTTTATTGTGAAGGTGATAAAGTATTCGGTGCGGGATATCAAAATTTTGTTGCTGTTGCTTCCTGTGAAGATGGTATGGTGGGAAACAGAACAGCCGTTTGTAAGGCTGATCGCACGTATGGAGATTTCCAAGACAACTGTGTCCTAGAAGTTATACAGAACCTGCTTGATCAGTCAGCGGTAAGTCCATCTTATATTTCTGAAACCTCTGGATATCCTGTTTTAAGTGTACTAAATTTTAGGTCATACCACGCTCGCTCTGCCTAAGAATAGATTAAAATAGACAGCTTCTAAATACTAGTAGATGTTACTCTGCATTATTTGCTAGACTTTCACAATGCCATACAGCAGATCAGTAGCCTTCATTGGGAAGAAGGTAGTTTTGTGTCTCTTACAAACACAAACCCAACACACACACACCCAACACACATATACATTCTGCTCTAAGTAGTGAGGACTCCCATTGACTTCTATTGATCATTTTCAACCCTTTCTATGCCCTAACCCTAAAACTAACGCTAAACCTAACCATTACCAATACAGACGTCACCCTAGCCCTAACCTAACTGACACCTTAGCCCTAAAACTAACCATTAGCAAAGTAGCTTGTGAGGACCGGCAAAATGTCCTCACTTTGCAACAACTGGTCCTCAATTTGATGGTGAAATTGTAAAAATGGTCCTCAGTCTGACAGGCTACACAGGTATATATACACACACATACACACACACACACACACACACACACACACACATCCTGACTGTAGATTAGTGGACCTAGACATTAGAATAATACAAAAAATAAATGTATTTCTCATTGATAGACTAACAAAAGCTCTGTGTTATTTAGATCCAAGCATTTGAATAACTTTTGATCAGAATTTTTTTTTCTTGAAATGTGGCAGACACTGGATAAGGCTACCATGCCAGGATTCTTGGAAAACCTCAAGGATGCAACTATCAACAACACAGAGACCATAACTGATTCTCCTGCTACCATTAATGCAATGGTTGACATCTTAGAAAATGTTGCTAATAGGAGTGGTTCTTTAAATATCACAATATATGAAGAATCCACAAAGGTCAGAATTATACATTTATGGCCAGTGGCGGTTTTTGATATGAAACATATTGGCTGTTCCCAAGTTTGTTCAGGGCACTACTCATATAAAAGCCATCACTGTTTTTGTTTCACAATTGTTTAACTTTTTTTTCTTTCTTTTTTTTTTAAATGTGTACTTCAGTTATGAAAATGTTCTCTTTTTTTTTATTACAGAACATCATGAAAAGTGCAGGAGTTCTCACCATTGACACTGCAAAGAAATCATGGGATACCCTGAACAATGAAACCAGTAATAAAGTAGATGCCAGCTCTTCGTTTTTAAGCGCCTTTGAAGGAATAACAGCCAATGTTGTCAATAAACCATTGAATATAAATACAGATCATATTATTTTCACCAAAACTAATTTCACTAACATTTTCAAGGAGGACTTTAACTCCTCAGTTGAGGTAGAGATAGCAGAAGCTGAGGTAGAGAAACAGTCAATTTCAGTGATAGTATTTGCATCAATGAACAATGTTCTTCCTGTGAGAGAAAAAACAAATACCTCATCCAGTGTTATCAATGGAAGAGTTGCACTTATCCAGCCAGAATCAAATCTTACGAACATATCAATAGCTTTTGATGTGCTTAATGAAACCCTGGGAAACCCTAAATGTGTTTTTTGGGATTTCGACCTGTTTGATGGTCTTGGAGGCTGGAGTGAGGATGGCTGCTCCTTTGTAATGAGTGAAAATGGATCAGTCACCTGCAACTGTGACCATACCACCTCGTTTTCTATTTTAATGTCACCCTCCAGCTATTCTGATCCTCCGTTGGAATACATCACCTACATTGGAGTTGGAATCTCTATGGGTTCTTTGATTATATGCCTAATCATTGAAGGCATTGTATGGAGAAAAATAAGGACAAACAGAACATCGTACTTGCGTCATGTGTCTATTGTTAACATCGCTGTGTCTCTCCTGATTGCAGACATTTGGTTTATTATTGGAGCGGCCATTTCAAAGACAAAAAATGCACCAGCATGCACAGCAGCTACCTTTTTTATCCATTTTTTCTATCTCGCCATGTTCTTCTGGATGCTAGCCTCAGCCCTGTTGTTGCTCTACCTTACCGTCAATGTCTTTGATGGAGGGCTGTCTAAAGCATCTATGCTGGCCATTGGATTCTCTTTGGGATATGGTGCACCACTGATCATTGCAACAATAACTATAGCTGTAACTGCTCCCTCAAAGGAATACATCCAAAACAATAACGCCTGTTGGCTCAACTGGTACAAGTCCAAAGCTCTTTTGGGGTTTGTGATCCCTGCACTTCTGATCGTGGCAGTGAATTTAATAATCCTGATTGTGGTGATATTCAAAATTGTGTGGAGAAGATATGGGGAGAATGCGGCCCAAGCAGGAGAAAAGCATGTCCTGCTGGTGATTGCCAGGAGTCTGGCTGTTCTAACACCATTTTTTGGAATAACTTGGGGTTTAGGAGTTGGAATCATGGCGAGTCCAAAAAACAGAGGGATCCACATTACATTTGCACTGTTCAATTCCTTGCAGGTAATATTTTGTATTCATAAGCAATAACTGAAATAAAGTGTTTTTATCTGATACTTCACCTTTTTTTTTGGGTTAAGGGCTTGTTCATTCTGGTCTTTGGAACTCTACTGGACAGAATGGTGAGTTTGTCTTGGTTATCAGGCTTTTTGGCACACTCGGGAATCAGTTATCATCTCCATGTTATATGTGTAGGGTTTTTTTTTTCCGTTCCCTACATAATTCATCAATATCTTTTTATACTAACCAGCAGAAATAACTTTTCAGGTGTGGACAGAAATCCGGCAGTCTCATTCATCTACCTCCCAAATCCAAACAGGAGTAAGAACTTTGCTTCATATAAATTATTCATCCTTTTGACCAATATTTGGACTCGTAACATTATTTTTGTTTTCTTGTTTTAGAGCTCGGGTGCTAGAAACATATCCAGTGGAGTGGGGGACTTTTTCAGGAGATTCAGAAGAGAAAGACGTATGTCTCACACACACACACACAAAAAAAAACTTTACTATTTATTAATTAATAAAATAGATAAACTTAGAGGGAAATGTATAGATTGAGACTTTCAGTTCAGATTCAGTTTCATATTAGTGATAATAAATAACATACATATATTATATATACCATTTATGTGAGTAACTCCCTGTAATTAGTACACAATGTACCTTTATGGTTATTTCATGCATGAGTTGATGATCATCTACACCTAGTGAACTTCCATTATGTGGCGCTAGTTTGCAGATCTCTATTTCAGTGTTTATGTGTTGGTCTTATTGTTGTATTTGCTAGTCTATTATCACTGAATCAAGAGTTTTAAATGTTCAATAGTCTGTATTCTGCACCCCAAACTGAATTACTTTTTGTTGCAGGTTCCAGAAGTGGCTACCAGTTGTCTTCTAATGGAGCCACGAACTTATCTTTCAACACTTAATACAATGCAAGAAAAGCATTGCCTGAAGACGCCCAATTAGTAGTCAGCCCTTTTTTTTGTAAATATGTAATTATACAGTTTGATATGCTTTTTCAAAAGAGTTGAAACTAATAAGCTGAAGTAAGCACCTTTTCAAAGTGGCTCTATGTATGAAGTAATCTGTTTTCATATTACATTTATGTTACAAATATTTTTAAACATATAGCTGTTTTTAAACATTTACAGTAAATTGAAATATATATGACTTTGGACTTGAAATATTGAAGAATTTAGCATGATTAAACCATGAGGTCTGAAGCTCTATAAGTAAATCAAATAATTCCTGTGGGAAAATATTTAAACTCAAGATAAGTGAACTAAGCAGATCTAGAGTCTTACTGAAGGTTGTAAGCTTTAAGATCTCAATGTTATGAAAATTATGCTTTAACCTTTCTAAGAAAGCCCATCTGGGATAACCACAGTTTTTCAGGGCTGTTCTGACATGTCAATGTTTTCTCAATTGTTTCTGGGTTGAGACCGACAACGTGGTTTAAGCTGTTCAGTGTAGTGAAAAGTGCTCAGAGTGCTTAGAGAGACCAAGCAACCACTACACAGTAGGGCCAACTCCTCAAGACCAGACTCACCTACACATGAAGGCTGAAGGACATTTGTTTGAGGACAACAATGTGCATATCCTGGCCAAGAAAGACAAATGGTTTAAGAGAGGTTAAGGAAGCCATCCTTGTTAACCTGGAAAATCCTGCACTTAACAGAGTAGGTGGTCACAGAGATAACCTGGCCAGCCCTAGCCCACATTTACAAAGCACTTTTATGGACAATACCTGGAAGAATCACCTTTCACCTGTTCTCAACTGACTCACACTTCAAAGAGGCCTGTCACCGAACCACTATGACAAGGGAGTTAATGACCCATCACATACCCATAATGACCATTGGCATTCCCAACATATACTCCATTGCCCTTCCAGTAAGAGGGATCAGAACCAACTTTCATTGTTTGTGTTTACAGCCTTTATACCTTTAGCAAACATCCATGATGGAGGCATTAAGGCAAAAGAACAATGTATAATTAGCTTTTAATGACTCAATGTTAAAAACACAGTTAAATACCTGAAACTGAAATTTGCACCTGTGTTCATCTTTGTTCCTAAATGTGAAGAAGGGGTAAAAAACATATAAAAATGTGTACTGCCTGTTAACGTGTAGTTGATGTGTCCTTAACATGCTCTCAGCATGTCTACTACTACTACTACTATGTGACCTATTAAAAGAAAACATGTTGTCAACACACAAACCACTTGCAAATCATGTGTTAGTCACATTGTCTGTGTCAGAAGTCACAACTTGGCTTTCCATACATCTTCTGCTGTGGCCCATGTACGTTATGATTCCACATGTTGAGTGTGATGAGGGTCCGGTTCTCTCTACTATTCATAGTGAATGACTTTTTTTTTGTTTAATTCCTTTCACCTCCAAATTTTTTATTTTTTTTTTATCCTTAGCAATTCTACTTGTATGCCTTCTTTAATTTTAGACCTTCATCAGAGAGACGGTTGCATGCTCCAATTCCAATTTTAAAGTATGTAGGCCAATCTGGCACCAAAAGCATGTTACATTTAAACTCATATCCCCTTCCTCCCCCTTACTTTTTAATTCAGTTGTTTTCACCACATATGGCTGACTGAATAATTTCAGTTCCTTATTTGTGATTGGCTGAGTCTCTTTTTGTGTTGGCAAGCTATGCATGTTCATCTATGGTCGTGGCTTTATCCTGTTGATTAAATAGGCTTCTAAAATATTGCACTTTATATTATTAACTAGAGGATATAAAAAAATAAATACAAAAAAACCCAGAATAGTTCAGATTATTAAAACACATGGTTATACTACCAAAATACTGCTCATCGCATGAGTTTTTACTCACAGTATCAATTGAATTATAAAGGCAGATATCAAATGCTGTAGCACTTTAGCAAAGCATATGTTTTTCCAGAAGTTGCTAAACCAGGCAAACAAGTCTCAGCGACTGAAGGAAGGTTTTATAGTTTTTTTTTGACAGCATAGCCTTTTATTATTAAAAATAAATTAAAAAAAAACAGATAAAAAAATATGTTCAAAATAAATGTCAGACAGCTGAAATTAGCAGTTTATTTCTGTTACAGTGTGTGACAACACAGACTCCACTGAAGAATCCAAAGTGTTCAACACCTATAATCAAGCCAGATGCAAAGCTAATTATTTTCCCTCCAGAAAAGTTGTACAAAGTAATGTTCGCTGTTGGAAGTATTTCTGCAGCTTATCAACAATTGACATTCAAACAGTAAATTACCCCAGACTGTCATGATTTAATTAAAGATCTGACCCAAATGCAAAAGACCAAACTGAGAGACCAGGGAAAAGTTTAACAGGTTTATTTAGTATGATGCGATGAGTCAGTGCTTCTCTGAACACTGTCAAACCAGAACTGGAAAGTGAGGGGAAGACACTGCGGTTAGTTCAGGCTCAGTGGGAAATTAGATTCTTTGACTTGAAAAGGTGGAATAGGTTGCAGACTCACGTTTCCAGAAAAAGGTGTCTTTTATTGAATCCAGTCTGTGAGGGATGTTCCAGTGATTGTCTTGTTTGATGGTGGGCGGACAGGGTTTACCCAGACTGCGGTTGTTCCTTGGTGAATGGAGAAGCTGACTGCCACTTAGATTTCCTGTGGTATTGAATGGGTTATGTGGAGATGAATCCCCTGCTCAGAGAGAAGCCCCAGACATCCTTGGGGGAAAAGGTTGATCCTAACCACAAACTTGAATCCTCAGCTCAGTTTGGTTCTCAGAAGATCCTTCCAGAGGAGAGAAGGTCCAAAACCTCTAGTTTGCAGGATGACTTCCTGCCGAGAGGCAAAGACAAAAACAGCAAGATTATAACTGAGGTAAACAAAAAACTCAGTTTGACTCAGCAAACTCAGCTTGGCTAGAGTACCAAAAACTGGCAAAACAAAAACTCAGGTTAGACTCTGCTAAACTAAGCATGGCTAGAATACCCGAAACTGGCAAACACTCTGGCGTCGAGGTAGTGGCAGTCAGCAGCTTAAGAGCACTCCACAGGTAATGAGACAACGAACTGCAGGTGTGCAGGGAGGCCCAAGGAGGACGGGGCACCACCTGGTGGAGGAAGAAAGGAAACAGAAAAACAGACCACACAAACTGGGTTCCTGACACAGACTTTCCTTTTAGAGTCACTTCTTCTTTACTTTTAACTGTCAATTTGAAAACAAATACAGCACTTTTGTGTATTTGTGTCTTTTATTGCATATAATACTTCAAAAAAATGTTATTATAATTTTAAATATTAATTTCCTTTTCTGTAATGTTTTGCATTTGGTAGAATAGTGCATGCACTTAAACTGAGTAGGTAGACTTTAATTCAAGCTCAGACAAGAAAAGGTAGTTCAATTAAAATGTATTTAATAGGTGTTCTTTTAGATGATGTTATCACATCATAATAATTTATGCTCTACATGAAAGAAAAACTGAACTAAATAATTGTTCTAGTTAGCAGGATTGATAGTCATCAACTTAAAAGTAAGGGATCTAGATTAGAAAGAATATCTATAGGAGTTCCTTCATCAAGCCTTTAACCAGAAACTTTTGGAACTGAACTCATGCAGATCAGCAGAACACATTTATCCCCCCCAAAGAACAGCAGCATCAGGGGGGAGTCTGCCTTTACTCTCGGGTCATTTGATTGAGAGAAGGAAAAGATTATCTAATCTTATGGCTGATGATCCAGTAGCATTCCTTTTAGTCTAGTCATCTCTGTGTTTAATAATGTTGGCAGACTGCCAGATCTTTAAAAATGTGCAGAATTAGATAACCATTTCTTGTTTAGAATTAATCGACTTAAAGTATTATACTAATTAAAAAACATTACATTAATTTGGTATGATTATATAACAGTGACTACATGTTGTCTTCATACTGGAATGAAAATAAATTATCAGTACCCTTTTTGGAATCAAGATGTTGCCCTAGACACAAAAGTAAAAGTCACACTCACGTTACATTCATATTATAAACTTGCGAGAAGGAAAGACTGTGGAAAAAATAAACAATTATAGGTATTTTATTAAACAACCTTTATTCTGCTGTCTCTAATATGCAACAATTTACTACTTTCAGAAAGTTGTTTTCTTGGTTTTCATTGGGAAAATCCTTCAATCTTCATTCATTTCCTCAAAAAACTCCCTTCCAGCTGACAACACTGCCACATAAATGAACGTCTCCGGTGTATCTTTCGATGGATGCAGACATAGAAATGTTCTGCATGACTGGAACTGACCTGTCAGTGTGTCTGATCTGGATTCACAGTACCTTCACAAGAGTGTCTGTGGTTTTCCTCTGCTTCTTTCTTTAACAGTCAAATAAAATTAAGCTAAAAAATGTACTACCCAACTCGCCTTAGATTATTTTTTTTGCCTGCCTTCACATTTATCTTCAATTTTTTTCACCATGGTAAAGATTTGGGCATATTTTATAGTAGTAGTTATTAATTTGTATTTAAATGCATGCAGGTGGTGCAGTGCTAAGTGGTAAGTGGTGCGCACGACCCATTTACGGAGGCCTTAGTCCTTGACGCGGCTGACCCGGGTTCAAATCTGGCCTGTGGTCCTTTGCCACATGTCTCTCCCCCTCTCTCATACACCCTTTCCTTTCCTGCTGTCACAAAAAACCAGCCACTAGTGCCGTTTAAAAGAAAAAAAAATCTGAAACCGTGGGAAAAAAATTATTTCGCTGCTGGATATATATTGTCTACTAAGAAGGGTTTAAGTGGATTGTAGGTTATGATTTGTTTTTAGAAAAACTAGACAAGGACATGACATACGGTATCCTCCAAAGAAATTTATTTTAGCCTGTATTTTTTTTGTTTGTTTAATATGTGCCTTAGTTTAATTTTAAGTTACCATAGTTGCCAACAAATATTTTCCCAGAAACAATAATTTTAAAGGCTGACCTGAACCAGGAGTAGAAGAAAGCATAAATAAATGGATTTAGAGTTGAATTGATCAGTGCAAACCAACTGGTTGATTCAATCACTGAAACCATTACAAAACTATTGGAAAAAGGTGCTAACGTGAAGGAAAGAAAAAAAGGAGCCCAGCAAAACAGAAATGCCCCCAAGACAATTGCCAGAGTTTTGGTGGCTTTTCTCTCCATCTTACTGACAGTTGCTCCAGAGTTTTTCTTGGTTTGGATGCTCCGTGCCTGTCTCTGTGCAACAACAAATATCTTCAGGTAGATGCAAACCATTATGACCACTGGAAGGTAAAAGGATGTCAAAGGTCCCACAATGTTTGTCATGATAATGTCAATAAAACATGCATCCAAGCATTCTTCTGTGTTTAATCTAGAAATAATAACACCAATTGCAGTAAGAACTGAAAGACCCCAGCTTATGACAATCATGATGATCACAACATGGAGGCTGATTTTGGATCTATATGTTAAAGGCTGACACACTGCATAATACCTATCAACTGAAATGCAACACATGTGCAAAATAGAGCATGTGCTGAGCAATACATCAAAGCTGTTTTTTATCTTACAAAACATGTTATTGTCATAAAAACATGAGGTAAAAGAGAATGACATTGTTAATGGAAAAGCAAGAACACCAACCAGCAGGTCAGCTACAGCCAGAGATTGAATGAGAGTGTTGGTGGGAGTGTGGAGTTGTTTGAAATAAGAAATAGATATTATTACAAGGAGGTTTCCGCATACTGTGACAAGAGACAAAAGTGTTAGGAAAACTTGCACTATTACACACACAGCAGAAGGAGTTGTTAGTTTGTAACTAAACAGATTCATCTCAAAACAGGGATGAAGTAAGTTAATTAAAACATTAGTTCTGTTTTCCATTGGGACATAAAGATTTGATCTAAAATCCATCAAAATAAAAACAATCACCCATATGAAATGCATTCACCATGTCCAAAAGATAATATCTATATAAGTAACAACCCTTCCCTGACTATTCTCCTGAATTGCAGATTCACCCTTATACTCTGTCAGAGCATAAGTGTAAGTGGCTCACAGCCATGCAAGTCTCTGTGAAACCAGTCAGTGTGTCAGTGCTGGTTGCTCTGAGCTAAAACAATCTGTTAGAACAAGCCTTTATGGCTAAAGGGCTGGGCTCACAGGAGGAAATGTCACTCCCTCATTTCCTATGGAACCCGTGCAATGAAGTAACAGTGTTTTGCCTCCCTCTAGCCAAAGAAGTTGAATATTTGTGCTTGTATGAGTTTAAGCTTATACAAGTAAACACTCACATGATACGTAGATGGCGACATAATGCAAGCAAAAAAAAAAAAACTTCAACTGTTGTTGCTGTTGCACTGAACTAAAACCAGTCAGCAAGAGATTCATTGACTGATCTATTGAAGATTAATTGTTTTTAATTTCATTTTCTGTTTTAAATAACTGCTATATCTGTTCCGGGAGACTTTCAATGAGGCTCTACCTTTACCTTATATGGTAATGCTGCTGAGCTTCGTGAAAAGGGTCTGATACTTACTGAGGGCTTTGGGGAAAGAATAAACTGAAAAGCATGTAGAAGTTTAGGATAATCAGAATCAGAAATACTTTAATAATCCCAGAGGGAAATTACTTTTGTTACACACTCCAGTTACAGTTTTACATGATATACACACACATACAACTATACAATATAATAAAGATAAAAAATAAGAATAAAAAGACATAAAATATATATACACATATAGCTCTTCTGTATATATATCTGTACGTTGTTAAAGAAAAATTATTATTTTTAGTCTTTAATACAGTTAATCTTAATCTGGAGCAAAAGCCAGCCTTATTTGAATAAATTAAATACAAGAGGATAAAACTTTCTACATAGAAGTAACAAATCAGATTTGCTCTTGCAACTCTCCAAAGATGTCTTTGTACGTCTTTGCTTTATTTTCTTCTCTCCATTTATGTCAGGTAAATTGAATGTATGTCTCCGTTGTTCTGCAGTTTCTGGTGTAGGTTTGTGCATTGTCTTATTTCTAAGTGTATGCATTGTCTTATATTGGATTAAACTCTGTAATTCTGTGACGTCAACACGCCTTGCTGGTTTTCATAGTGACCACACGCAGCTCGCCGAGTGGACCTGGGAAAGGAAGAATGAAAAGCCAACCTTTTTCCAAAGTTAACTATTTTAGAATATTTTATTCCTTAACAACATATATCTATGCATAAGTAAAAACTAAATCCAATAAAGTGAAAAGTCTAATTAAAGTGATAAATCCAAGTAAAGTGATACGTGGCGTGCAAAAATAGTGCATAAATGTCAATTTGGGGGGGGGCTGAATCACTTGAGGGAGGCCTTATAGAGATTGATGACCACAGGAAGGAATGATCTCCTGTGGCGCTCTGTAGTGCATCTGGGTAGGAGGAGTCTTCTGCTGAAGGAGCTCGTCTGCTGGACCAGTGTGTCGTGGAGAGGATGTGAGTCATTGTCTAAGATGGACTGAAACCTGGACAGCATCCTCCTCTCTGCCACGGTGGTCAGGGTGTCCAGCTGCTTCCCCACAACATCACCGGCCCTCTTGATCAGTTTGATAAGAAAAAGGTCTAAATCTTCCTCTGCAATTTGTGCTTACACCAAAGATTTTGATAAATATTACTGGAATAATTTCTGTTAATGCTTACAGTAGTGGATTTCCAAATCCTGCACCTTTTTTTGGCAGAGGTTTTGCAGCCATAGAGATTTGAGGCTGCAGTACAGCTCCACTGCAATTGGCTGAACCATTCCATCCCACAATTACATCATCATGCATTTTGTCCAGAGCAGGAGAGTGGAAAAGCCCTAATTCTTGGCATTCATTTAATCTTTGCAACCATCAATCTATACACCAGGGGGTGAACCAGCGCAAAGGCAAACGCTTACACAGATGCAGCTCTGGATGAACCAATTCAAAAGTTGTACAAAACTAACACTTAAGCAGCAGAAGCCAGTGTAACACTATGAATTCGAAAAAAAACCCCGACTTTGTTAGAGTTCTGTTGTCATTTGGACAGAGAAAAAATCCAAGGACTGAAAGCAGATCAATGCTGGAGTCTTTGTAACAGGTGGGGGAGACTTTCCATGGAGCGCAGAGTACTGTCATGATCACTACCCTGATAGCTGACCTTGCTCATTTTGCTCAGCTGCCTGACTCTGCCCGGTTACCAATTATCACTCATCTTATCCACCTGCTCCTGCTGCTTTATATAGGGCTTAGTCCCAGCTATCGGGGCTAGATCATTGACGTTGTTTCTGTGTTTTGACTTGGAGATTGTGTTGCTAAGCTGGATTTTGATGTTCTCGTTCTCGGAGGCCAGGGTTGAGAGAGGTTGTTAGTATTGTATTAGTGTTCCTGATCATTTCCGGTCTCTTATCCATTGAGTATGCCCTGTTCCTGTTCTTGGCTCAGTGGAGGGTGTGACTTTTAACGCATCATAGTTTTCCTGATGTCCTGTCTTGTTTTATCTCTCAACTACTGAACATGCCTCTTCCTATTTGAACGTTCTGCCTGAGCTCTCTGTCAGACTCTTGGAACCCTGAATCTGCCTGGTCATGTTCTGATCGGAACCCATGACCGGGCTACAACTCCAGGATCTCTGAGGCTTGCTGTTGTGAACTGTTTGCCTGACCTGGCTCGGATTCCTGCCTCTTCACTGGGGCTGCTGCATCTGGTTAACTCTGGTTAACTCCCGCTGCACCTCGTTGGCAGTCTATTGGCTGGATCCTACCCCCCTCTTAGTAGTTGAACTATTTTTTTTCTGCAGGGCAAACGATTTGATGGCACAAACTAAACTTTTCATAATTTATTATTTATGGTTTGCCAGCATTCATAACATGTAGGTGAATCACTGTCCCCCAGACATCAGTGGTTATATTTTTTATTTTTATATTTTTTTAAAACAAAGTGGAGTGTGTATGATGTCATCCGTGCACCGGACTGGAGTGACAGGCAGCCTGGGCCAAAGCCGGCTACGCTCTACCCCTTATATTAATTTGGCTAGCTAATCTAAATCGTTCAATTCCATTTTGAGAGCGAGATCATCTGTGGTAGTAACACTAGACATTTTCCAGGCATGTGAGTAAAACTACAGTAGCAGCAGTTCAGGGGACAGGATGAATTAATGGTACAAATACAAACACTTCGTTACTGTACTCAAGTAGATTTTTCTGATATTTTCACTTTACTTTACTACTTATTTTTATGGTGACTTTTTACTTCTACTCCTTACATTTTTACACAAATATATGTACTTTCTACTCCTTACATTTAAAAAAATTGGCTCGTTACTTTAGTTTTGAATCATTTCAATGGAGTTACCGTTATTATTTTTCACATCATCAATA